GAAAAAAGTGAAAAGAAATGGAAAAAATAATAGAACTTTGTCTTAGTGCAATGAATGCTATTTGTAGATAGACCGGGTCTAAAATCCTGACGCAGGTCTAGTGAAATTCTATCATGAGGCAAAAAACAAGGAGAATTTTTTTAAAAAGGCTTTTTTAAAAAATATAATTAGTAAAATCAAACTTTTTGTAAAATCTTTTTTGGCCATGTCGTCACGTCTGGCCGAAAAGAGGTCGACTTTCCAAAATATCGACCTTAAAATACATAGGACTAGTAATCCGTGTAATTAGTTCTCGTTAGCTAAACCTTAACCATTTTAGCACAAAGTACACAGGACTACCATTTCAGACTAATCGTAATTAGCGACCACTAATTATATGGGACTACTAGTCCCGTGTTTTTTAAAGTCGATTTTTACAAAATCGACCTCTTTTTGGTCAGCCAAGATGGTGTGGGCAAAAAGAGGTCGATTTTGCTAAAAAATTTTAAAAAACATTGATTTTGCTGATATTTTTTCAAAAATGGTCTTTGTTTAAAAATTCTCCAAAAAAAACAGATCTCCTATTTTCAAAAGTTTACCAGCAACTAAAAAGGAAAATTTTATAGAAGGAACAAAACCAGAAAACAAAGTGCAGAAATTTTCAATGTTTTGGATATTTTGCATACCATTGTATGTGTCTTCCCAGAGCCAGTTTGTCCATATGCGAAAATACAAACATTATAGCCATCCATTACAGACCTAATCAGCGGTTGAGTATCCGCAAACACTTCACCTGCCAAAAATCAATCACATGAATGAAAACTTTGCATAGGAGATATAACTCATTTAGAATATAAAAATTGCACATCAGTACTCCATAGAAGCACCCATCCCAGACAAATATGAAGAATTTTTTTAATTAGTGTTAATCATGGGCAGAAGTCTTTTAGGAGAATGCACTCTTTTATGACAAAATACTATGAGAAAATGACAACCTTGCAATGATGAGTTCGTAAATTTTTCCCTTAAGGGCCTGTTTGGATTCGTAGGGGGTGAAGGGAAGTTAAGGGAAACTGAGTGAAGGGAAGGGAAGGGAAAGGAAGGGAATGGAAGGGAATTCCCTTCCCCTTGGTTACACCCCAATTTGGGGTAACAATTTTTATACTATTAGGGGGTGAACCAAGGTGAATGGAGGTGAATTAACTTCACCTCCTAAGTGTTCCCAAACAAGGTGAATGGAGGTGAATGGTTCCCCTAACTTCCCTTCACCCTCATTCCCCTCAATCCAAACAAGCCCTAAAGGAATTAAAATTTTCCTGTATAACATGAATTTCCTAAAATATAATTCCAGATAAAATCCAAATTTTAGGTAAGTAAACATACCTTGAGTGGTGTTAGCTCCAAATACTTTGTTAAATGAGAATATCTTTCTTGCATCTTTCCCTTGCTTGTGAGGATTTATAATCATAATATTTCCATTTTCACCAATATGATCAACAGTGGATTTGGTATCGGACTGATTTGATAAAAATGGCCTCACTCTACAGTACACTCTAATGTTACCTGAAACAAATCCAAAGTTTATTGTATTTCTCTCAATTACTAATAAGCTAAAGAAAAATGTCAACCACTCACATTAATCATATACCTTTAAGATCTTGCACTTGATTGTAAAGCATACGGTTTTCCTCTAGCAATTTATAATACAGAGAGGCATTGATATTTAGACCTTCCATTCGTTTTTCTGAGGTAATAACAGATGCAGTCAGATAAAAGAATCAAAATTAAACCTCCAAACTACAAACAGTATACTTTTGCATCCTTACCAAACTTTTCTAAGTCTTCTTCCCATTTCCTTTTGCTGCATTCAACTTGAACTCTCATTTCTTGAAACGATAATTTCAACTTCTGAAATCATTAGTGAAAATCAATGTTTTTTCTACCATATATGCTAAAGAAATCTGACAAGCACCAATTAAAATTTGTCACAGTTTAATAGTAAAAACTATACTGTTAAAAGGAAAAAAGAAGGTTATTCTTATTCATAAGAAAATAAATTCATGGTACATAATTGATTGCATTTTTATTTGACATAAATGTGATTTTGTAAATTTTATACTGATTGCACAATTATGTGAGATATTACCACTGTTATTGAGTATTCAGAAAACAAGTCGTTGTTTGTTAGAATTAAAAACAATTGTTATATTTATGCAACTTAATAGAAAAGTACTCTACCTCCTCAAAATACAGGTTTAAGTTAGATTAATTCAACAAATAAGTAAATTAATTCACCAAATAAGTAACATTAACCAAATCTACACAAGTACACAGACATAAAGATCACTAAATTCATGCAGTTTCGACGTTAAGTAACATTAACCAAATCTACACAAGTACACAGACATAAAGATCACTAAATTCATGCAGTTTCGACGTCTCCACCATGCTATTGTTTTACCAACAGTACACAGACATAAAGATCACTAAATTCATGCAGTTTCGACGTCTCCACCATGCTATTGTTTTACCAACAGTTCTCAGCAGGATTTTTACAGCTTTACCAAAATTTGAATATTCCATTAAAAAATGGCAAACTTCCGATCATGGTGGACATAACTGAAAAGACCTCGCAATTTACTAAAAAGTCTTAACTCAGGGAACGTGTGAGTGCTATGTTTTTATAGAGTTCATGGATTCATAAAACTCAAATGAAATATTCACCTCTAGTTGTTTCTGTTGAAGGTCAAGCCTTTCCTCATTGTTTATGTTCGAACCCAAGCTACACTTACAGAAATTTAAACAGGAATCTGAGCCACAACTCCGCAATTTTAGATGTCTAAGAATAGCTTCCATGAACTTCACCTTTGACATATTTCCACTTTCATCCTTCAACTTTTTCTTCAAAAGAGATCCAAGCTGTTGACAATAATAAAAAGTTCATAATGAATTTACTTCTCATGTTATCCTTGGAAATCCTGTCAGCAGAAATCAAATCATCTTAAACATTTACTTGATGTGTCATTGACTGGAATACTACAAAGTTGATTTACTAATTGCAAGTACACCAATGACTTTTCTGGGGGAAAAAAGCATGGGACCAATGAGATATAATCAAAATAAATTGCGAACAACTTACTGCGAAACCATCTATCGTGAATTGTGATGAAAGAATGTTTTGTAAAATTTTCAGTGTTTGAAATTTAGCATTATTTAACTTTCTTTCTTTATCCGTGTAGATTCTACTTTTGTCTGGTGAATCGTTATCCACTAGAAAAGGAGTTGATATAAAAAATTCATAAGAAACTTACCAACTTTCAGCTCCATATTGTATGATTACGGAATTAAGAAAAACTTAGTTTTGTTATTCCTCTTTAAAACAAAATGTTACTCATTTAACCCACAGTTGTTAGGACCCAACCACCTCATGCATTTGCATCCATGTATGAAAGAACATAGGCATTAATTGCCCGCCCATGGTTCCAATTAACAAATTATTACCTGATTTCTTTGAGAAGCAAGCATCAAATAGATCTCTTTAAGAGCTAAGTCCAGCACCAGATCTACCAGCTGCGATATTTTCAACAAACAAACTAAGTCAAGGGAGATTAGCAAAAGCAAACAAAGATCCGCCCTGAAGAAACATTAAATTTCGCGAGCTGGAAAATAAATAAATTAGCTGCAATACATATTCAGAAAATGCATTTTCCAGATATCAATTATGACGTAAAGCATCAAGAAGAAAAAAAAAACGCCCCCTTTGAGATCATGCAAGATAATCTGTTTAGCATAATATGGTGGATTTCCAATGAATGAAATTATGTAAACCGCTAGACTGGATGAGAACTTAATGTAAAACATAATAACAAGTTTTGCCTGACCAGAGCTATGTTAAATACTAAGTGAAGTCGTATTTTACCATTTTACATTTTCTAAGAAATATGAGTTAAGGTTATTGCTGACATTGGTTTAGACTCTTACCTACCATTGGATTTAGTGGCAACTCCTCATCCCCACCCAACTCGGTAAGAAATGCCTGCAGAAGCCGGAGCCCAAATTGATCGAACATAGAGCTGGCTTTGTTTGTTGCTTTCAACTCTTCGACCAAGTCCTCACCCAATAATCGTACAGCCTGTTCTAATTGCTGCTTGTTATCAAACAATTCGTCGCCATTCGCAATCTCAATCAATGGGGAGCTCCACCGGCTTAAAGACGTGATCTTCACAAGTCCACCATATCTCCACACACCAATTCCACCCGCTAATTTCCACTCGTGATATCCTTTGAGGCAAAGAATGCATTCTACTACCTTACTAGATGAACCTCCCTACAAAACGGGGCTAATATGCTACATAAATGTGATCTTCAACAAAACGCAATAAATTCCATTCTATTTCTGATGTGGGACAAAAATCATCGTAACTAATGAAAGAAATCGAAGGGGGGGGAAAAACCTTCTCGAGATCAGAGGCTTCAAATGTCAGCAGCTTCATCTCGGCCACCGCATCAAGAAAGTTCCTCATGTTCTCAAAGTACTGAATCGCCGACTGAGCTGCTGCATCCATCGACTCGACAGCAACAACAGGGTTCTCGACGACCTACCAAGTTCAAAAAAAAAAATATCAGCATCTCATCGAACATCGACTCGAACATTAAAGAATCTTGGCGTACTTTTGAGACAGCGCCTGGATTGACTCTGTTGAGGACGTTGCAGAGGATCAATCCGTTGCGCAATGCGAGGCAAAACTCCTCCTCCGATGGATCTCTGGCTAGGGTTTTCGAAGCTTCTCGGTCCATCTCTCTCAGCCATTGCGCTGCTTGCGATCTCCTCGCAGCTTTAAATAATGCAAAAATGAAAAGAAAAATTTAAAACTGCATTTTGATCGTGAAGAGTGAGCTAGATTTGAGATCGGTACCAGCTTCTTCGGTCTTGCGAAGAGCGAGCTCGTCGTCGTCGATGACATCGCCGGAAAAAGACATTATTTGAAAATCGCCGGCGGCGAGAAAAAAAAAAAGTGGGGAGTGGGATTCTCGTGAGTGTGTTTTGTTTGCGGGAGTGAGAATTTGAATTAAGGGATCGGCGAGGATTATTAATGTTTATAGAGGAGCAGTTGGATATGGCGTTGGATCTGCTGTTTTGGTTCGAACAGGGAGATTATATTTCGACGAATTGGAATTGGGAAGCGGGGTGGAGGAAAATGGGGCCCACTATTTTGCATTGGATATGCTGTTTAGAGTACGGTGGTGGTGAGATTCGGGCTCGATGGTCGAGGCTGTACACAACCTGATTCAAATGCGTTTCACAATATTGCAAAAGAGTTGGGGTTCTAACGGAGAGATAGCGGTGGTTTTCTCCGTCCATTATAATAGCCTCTTTTAATATAAGTGGATAAACTTTAATTCTCTTTTTAGCTCATTCGTACGAACTAATTATGAGTTTTAAACATTAAAGGAATTGCTTTAAATTTTCTGAAAAGATCATCTTCCAATCGTAAATAAGAAAACGTTCTTTCTAATTCTTTTTTCTCATTTCCCATTGTTCTCTCCTCTAAAAAAACATCCTAAAATATGATTTTGTCTTTGTATTCAGCTTGAACTTTCTAAAAATCTATGGGAGTCTTTTTGTAAACCTGTTTGAAGTTTAGAATATTTTTTCTCTAATTTTTAAAACTCATGTCATTTCGTGCAAAACACTCCTAAGTTCAGGGGTTCTTTTAAAAAAAATTTAGGACTGGTTTTTTTATTTGAGATTATTGTAAATAAAACTATTTTAATATTTTATGGAAATATCTTACAAAAAGCAATAATTGGACAACATCCAATCCTCAAATGGATTTCAATATCAACGAGAATAAAAGAAAAATAAAAGATAAAAGTCTCCTCTTTGCAAAAAAAAAATAATCATACCACAATTTTATCATTTTATATTGAACATGTTATCACATTTTGGACCAATAATAGCATATTAGTGCGAAAAAATTGACTATCTGGTACAAAAATAAATAAATATTTTAAATTACAAAAAAATAATTTAAATGTAGTATTAATATTATTTATTATTGGTCCAAAATGTGAGAACATGTTCAATATAAAATGATAAAATTGGGGTATGGGTATTTTTTTACTTTTGTTTGCAAACTTAGTATGTTTCTTTTTTGTCATGTCACGTAACCAAAAATAACAATATTGTTTATGTAGTTTCTTGACATATTTCTTTTTTATCTTTTTCAATATTTTTGTTTCTTTTGACTCTCCCCGAAATAAAATATAAAATGAATAAGACCGTCACTAACGCCGTTTACTGACGGATTAATTTGCTCTCTCCTCGGAGAGCCAGTCGTTTTAAAACATAACCAATGACAAACTGCCACGTATAGTAGTGTAGATGACTGCACAAGATCCGAGACCAGAACAATTAATATTGGCCGTGTGTATTTGAAGCCTAACCGTAGGACGAAGATCGAAGGGTTGGTAATTTTTGGACCCACCAAAAGAGACAAGGTGACAAATTAAATAGATGGGGCCCACAAAATAGGGGAGCAGTTAACGCGGCCTGTTTGTTTGAAATGATCGACCGTTGAAATCCACAAAGTTTAAAATGAGTGAGCAAAAAGCATGCGGGTGCTTATTGTGAAGTAAATGGGAATTATAATTATTTTAGTTTGTCCGCCATTAGAGAAGCAAATTTAAGAGGGAAGGGGGTGATTCTTGATGGCTTTCATTAGAAGCATAAACTTCATTAGAAGCATAAAGAAAAAGTTCCCTCCTCTCAGGTAATGGATTTTGAAATACTTTTTCCCCCCCTTTTAGAACTGATAAATGAGATGTTATTGCAAGATCATAACCAAAGCAAGTTATAATATGGCTCAACAACGCCAGATGAACGTAAATTGAAGCTACCATGAAACTTTTAAGTATTATTTTTGTATTAAATGGAAAATAAATAGAGGTTCTTATATGGTATCTCCTGTTGGATTAAATATAAACTGTGGGCACATATGTGATATTAGTGTGTAGTGCTATCCTTTAAAGTTGACCCGCGTAAAATGGTCAATCAGGTAAACTTGGTCAATGGGTATTGAATGTGTCATTGGCCAGTAGATACCAGATTGCATCTAATTTGATGAGGGGCCAAATTAGAAATTATAATAACTATTTAATAGGTTATGGTCCCTAATCTAATGGCATGTTCCATATTTCTCTTAACACCATCTAGAGAGGAATTTTAGAGAGGTCATCTAGATTAAAAGATCAACCCCTTCGGTAATCTTCTACAAATTAATTCATAGATCCATGTACGCTTCCGCATCTATTGTTAATTTCATCTTTGTATTAATCATGTGTATTAGATTGTTTTTCTAGGGTTTGTTGTTTGATTCATTTCGAAAAGCCTAGAATTATTTTGTGGTATATTTACAACAAGTGGCATCAGAGCACCATGATTAATTCTTTAAGGATCTAAGTTTTAATTTGTGTCTCTTTACCTTCAACTAAAATTCGTATGGGATCAGACTGTTGAAGGAATTACAGCATCAGCAGCAGAATCAGGAAAAACAGGCGGCGGTCGACCGGTCCGGTCGACCGCATTCGTGCACAAGGCTTCCTGTGCGTCTGGAAGGAGGTCGGTCGACCGGCCCGGTCGACCGGAATTGATCGCGGTCGACCGGGCCGGTCGACCGACGAAGCGGATATCAGTTTTTTCAGGTTTTCGACCCGGTTCGTTTTGTAAGTTCTATATATACCTAAACCTGTTTGTTTAGGGTAAGGGGTTGAACGAATTTGAGCAGCCAAAAAGAGAGAATCATTGCATCAAATTTTGAGAGAGCTTTGAGAGATCTAGAGCTTTGTTTTAGGGTTTGGTCTGAGAGATTTGTAACCCTATTTGTATTCTCTTGATTTCTAGTAGAAAGAACTCCCCCCTCCTTGCTCCGTGGACGTAGGCAACTTGCCGAACCACATAAATTGTGTGTTCTTGCTGTGATTGTGTTTTGCATATTGTTTGTGGTTTAGTTCCTAGAAAGCTTCCGCCGCGCACAACAATTGGTATCAGAGCTAGATCGACAACATGGGAGATGCAAGCACGTCAGGTTCGTCTCTAACAAAGGCGATACAGAGTCTGAGCATCAATAACACGAAGATTGATGTTCCGAAGTTTGATGGCAAGATCAATTTTGGATAGAGTCTGAGCATCAATAACACGAAGATTGATGTTCCGAAGTTTGATGGCAAGATCAATTTTGGATTGTAGAGGTGTCAGGTGATGGATGCTTTGGATGTACAGAATTTGGAGGAGACTCTTGAGTTAAAAGAGAAACCCACTGAGTTGGAGGATAAGGTTTGGAGAAAGATGAACAGTAGAGCTTGTGGTGTTATTAGGTCATGCTTGACGCCGGATCTTATTTATGATGTTATGAACGAGACGTCGGCGAAGAAGATGTGGGAAACACTCAATGAGAAATATCTTACGAAGAGCATTGAGAATCGGCTTCACTTGAAGAAGAGATTTTACCAGTTCAAGATGAAGAGAGTGGTTTCCATCAGGGAGCATGTCAACAATTTCACTAAGCTACTTTCAGATATGGCCAATGTTGATATTATAGTTGAGGATGAAGACAAGTCGATGCTACTTCTGTGTTCGTTGCCCGAAGATGATTATGGTACGTTCGTTCTCACTATGATCAATGGAAGAACTACAGTTAGCTACAAGGAGGTGACCTCAGCTTTGGTGAACTATGAGTTGAGGAAGAGTGATGGTGAATCCTCCGAGAAGGCATCGGGAGATGCGTTAGCAGTTCGAGGCCGAGATCCAAACCGTCGTCAGTTCAACCGCTCAAAGTCAAAGAATAGGAGTGCCTATAAGAGTGTTGGTAGAAATCAATGTCGGTATTGTAAAGAAGAAGGACATTGGAAGATTGACTGCCCAAAGTGGAAAGAAAAAGCCGGAAAGAATAAGGGGAAAGCTGCACAAGCTTCAGAAGTAAATGTTGCAAAAGCTATTGGTGAGCATTCAGATTCAGATTCTTCAGGCTATTCATGCCCTGCTTTACCGTCGGTTTGCTATGCGGATTCCACGGAGTGGATGATGGATTCGGGAGCTACATATCACATCTGCCCTAAGAGGGAGTGGTTTTCTAGCTTTGAGGAGCTGGAAAGAGGGGATGTCGTGCTTATGGGTAATGATCACGTATGCCCTATTGGTGGTATTGGTTCAGTCCGGATCAGGATGCATGATGGTGTAGTGAGGGAATTGAAGGAAGTGAGGTTCGTGCCGCAGTTGACGAAGAACATCATTTCTCTTGGGACTTTGGAGGCAGCAGGATATCGAGTGATCTTAGAGGATGCTACAGTGAAGGTCACGAAGGGTTCTATGGTGGTGATGCGAGGTGTCAGGGAAAACTACCTATACTACTTGAAGGGCAAGACAGTTACAGGGGGTCTGGCAGCTTCTATCACTACAGAGGAGGACACTACCACCTTATGGCACATGAGACTTGGACACACAGGAGATAAGTCCCTACAGTCATTGGCTAAACAGGGGCTATTGAAAGGTGCTAAGACCTGCAAGATGGAATTGTGTGAGCATTGTGTACTTGGGAAGAAGACTAGAGTGAAGTTCGGCACCGCTGTTCATAACACCCAAGGTACATTGGATTATATTCACACGGACGTTTGGGGTCCTTCCAAGAACACATCTCTTGGTGGGGCCAACTATTTTGTCACTTTCATTGATGATTATTCCAGGAGGAATTGGGTATACCCGATGAAGCATAAACATCAGGTCCTGGATATTTTTGTGGAGTGGAAAAAGAAAGTGGAGCTGCAGACAGGTAGAAAGGTGAAGACTCTACGTTCAGATAACGGTGGAGAGTACAAGAGTGATCCGTTTCTGCAGTTTTGCCGGGATCACGGCATTAGAAGACACTTCACAGTTCGAGAGACACCGCAACAGAACGGGGTGGCTGAGAGATTGAACCGTACCTTGCTGGAGAAGGTGCGGTGTATGATGACGCAGAGTGGATTGCCTAGATCTTTTTGGGCCGAGGCGTTGGTT